GCACCAAAACCCAAACAAACAAAACAAAAACTTCACTCTGCTGAAGCTAGCACAAGGAAGAGTTCCTAGGAAAGCTGTAGGAAGTCTCATCAGTGAAGCACCTTCGGAAATGTTCCTTACCACATTTGAGGCTCCTGACTCAAATGATCCCACTCGGGGTTGACTGAAGCTTTCTCTATGGAAGTCATTCCTAAAAAATTCTTTACTTTCTTGGGAGATTAAATGAGAACTCACTTTGATGCCTCCTCTGCCTGAATGGACTTTATAGTCCCATTTGAGCTTTGTGAACATTTTTTGAGTATGTTTTCAGAACTTTGCCTTTCAGTGATCATAGTTTACCTGCCTTCTCCTAGGCCCACAATTATCATAAGATAGAAGGGAACAGAAAGAGAAAAAGAAACATATTTTGATAATGCTGTCCTCTCTCCATATTTAATGAAGAGCATCTAGTCTTGGACTTTACCTTTAATTTGCATCTTTCCAAATCCTGCCCCAATCAAAGTACTACCTCTTGGAGGGAAGTCGCTGAAGTTTCACCCTCTAACTCTACTTAGCAAAAAGATCAAACAAAAACAAGCCAATCAATTTGGAAATGCTTCCTTTCTAACTCAGTTACATCTGTACTACTTCCAGATTGTGACTCAAGAGGGAACCAGTAAGACAGCAGCCCCCAAACACTCAGGCCTCAACTGAAAAAGGTGCCCAAAAAGGGCTACCTGGCTCAAATTCTGAGAAAGGTTCCCTAAAGATTCAAAAATAAGCAGTTTTATTTTTCCTGAAAATAGAAAATGGGTTCATAAAAAAAGACAAAAACCTTACAAAGGTTCTGCCCTTCAAAGCCCTGGATAGCTCCCTGGGCAAAGGGAGCTATCTTATCCTGCTTCCCCCCAGAACCCTATCCCCAAGAAAATGGGGTTAATACCTCCCCAGATGGCTACAGGGAGGATTAAGGTTCATTATTCTTGGCATCCAGCTCTGGCACAGCTCTAGTGTTTCTGACCTTGTTTGTTGTAAAAGAAGATATTAAATATAAAAATGTAAACAGTGACCCCTGAATCTGGCTCTGTGAAAGTGGCTGAGAATTTGCTTTGCACTGGGCCTGAAGCTGCCTCCTATATTCTGACCTGTTGGCTACTTCCTCCCCTTATTCAGGTTTCAAGTTTTTAGTATTAGTCACTATTGTCACAAAGCCCTCTGAAGAGTCTGCAGCTATTACTAATAGTACAAAGAATGAGACCCAAAACTCTGAGGGGTTCCCTCAGGCCCAAATTCACCCTGAGGAAGCCAATAAAGTGGTACTCCTTTACTCCCAAGCCCTGGCTCTTGAGGGCAATCAATGAGGTCCAGTAAAAAGCACATATTATATCATTCAGTCCTCATAAGCTCACTATAACATAGGTACCATCATAAGCCTCACTTTACAAATGAGAAAACTAGCTTAAAGATGACCTGTGACTTAGCTTAGGTCACCAAGCTAACAAGGAACAAACATGGGTGCAAATAGTATCCCTATCATCACTAGCTATGTAACCTCCAGCATATTTCTTTACTTTCTATAGTCTTAGTTTCTTCATTTGGAGATAATGATTATTTCTACCTTACAGAAGATTTCTGAGGTTTAAGTAAGATATTGTAAAAAAGTGTCTAGCAAGTGCCCAGTATATAGCAGATAATGAATACATGTCAGCTTTTTTTTTAAGAGAGAGTGAGAGAGGAGAGAGAGAATTTTTAATATTTATTTTTTAGTTCTCGGCGGACACAACATCTTCRTTTGTATGTGGTGCTGAGGATCGAACCCGGGCCACACGCATGCCAGGCAAGCGCGCTACCGCTTGAGCCACATCCCCAGCCCCACATGTCAGTTTTTATAATAAAAAAGATAGGGAGTGGGGCTGGGGTTGTGGCTTAGTGGTAGAGCGCTCATCTAGCATGTGCGAGGTGCTGGGTTCGATCCTCACCACCACATAAAAATAATAAAATAAAGGTATTGTGTCCAACTACAACTAAAAAAATTAAAAGAAAAAGACAGGGAGTTTGATATCATTTTCATAGAATCACACTATTTAAAATACTGAAAGATCACTTAGTTCAAATATCTACCTGAGTATGGACCCTTCTAGCACAGCTGTGAAAAATGCAGCAAAGAATCTGCTTGAAAACATCCAATGATGGGGTGACTCTCCCTCAGAAGGTAGTCCATCTTGTTTTTAGAAAGCCAAATTCTTCGCTAGGTGACTCGCTTAGGTATTTTCAATCATAACTATACTACTGAATATGAAGTGGTATCTCATTGCTGTATGAAGTTTCTTTTTGAGGTGACTGAAATGTGTTAAAACTATGGTGGCCAGGCATGGTGGTGCATGCTTGTAATCCCAGCTAATCCAGAGACTGAGGCACCAGGATCACAAGTTCAAGGTTAGCATAGGGAACTTAGTGAAACCCATATCAAAATAAAAGGACTTGGAATATAATCAGAGGCAGAGGGCTTGCCTAGTATGTACAAGGCCCAGGATTTGAGCCCCAGAACCATAAGAAAAAAAGTAAGTCAAATTTTCTCTCAAATCAAAGACTACTCTCTTGGACTTTCTCTCCTTTAATCCTAGTGCTGCCATCTAGAATCAAATAGAGAAAGCCCAGTTCCCTCTCTCCATGACAATTCTTCAGGCATTTTCAGGCTGGTATCATGTTTCCCAGGCTCTCTCAACCTTGGTCTTTTCAGCCCCTTATCACATGTCATAGCCCCAAGAGGCAACTCAATATCACAAAGCAGACAGACCTGGGTTTGAATTCCAATCCTTCCTCTTATTAGCTGTGGGATTTTAAGCAAGTTTCTTAACTTCTCTGAATCTGTTTCTTCCTATGTATAATGGAGAAAATTATTCTGATTTCACAATACAATCATGACTGTTAAATAAAGTAAGAACACTACCTAGTACCAAGCCCAACATACACCAGACCCTCAATAAATGTCAGTCACTTTTTAAGACATATGCCAACTGGTAATCTCTCTCAAAGTAAATTAGCCAGAATTAACTATAACATGGGACTGGTTTCTAATGGCAACTTTCAGGACCTGGGTTTTTGAAGACATGGAAAAAAAAAAAAAGAAGAAAGCATGATCCAAGCATTCTATGGCTCCAGCAACCTTAAATGGCAGCCCAAAGATGTAGCGAAGAATCTAGAAAGATGAGAATGAAAGAAGAAAGGAAACAGGACAGATTTTCTGCTGTTATTGTTTTTGTTTTTGCACTGGGGAATGAACCTAGAGACACTATACCACTGAGCTATATCCCTGATCCTTCTTATTTATTTATTTATTTATTTATTTTGAGACAAGGTCTTTCTAAGTTGCTGAGGCTAGTCTTGAACTTTCAATCTTCTGCCTCAGCCTCCTCAGTTGCTGGGATTACAAATATTCTCCACTGCACCCTGTAATTGTTAAATCAGAAAAGGCAAGTATTACTATCTTATATGCTGTCTATGACTTTATCTAAGACCCAGAACTGCATGTGTGGGCCATATGCCCTAATTTAAAAGGAGAGAAGAAAAATAAAAGTAAGTAAGAATGAGGCACAGTCTGAGTCTTCCTCAGAAGTTGGCTCCTCAAGATCCACAGATATTTGCAAATGGGCTTTAATATCTTCAGTTGTGTTTTTCTACATCCTGAAGTCCAGGTGTGTGAAAACACTGTATAGAGGGTGTTTGATGAATGATTCAATACTGAATTCCTTCCAGCTAGAAAAACTGCCACCTGTGTGACAATTCAAAACTGGCAAATAATAGTTAACATTATCATCATAAGCATTACACATATTCTCTCTCCCTAAGTGACCACCAGGAAAGAAGTTCCAGGCAGAAATAAGGATTGTTGCTAAATTAATCTGCAGAGTTGATTCAAAAGCACTGTCTCTACAAGTTGAGATGTGACTTGAGCATAAGTGTATTCCCCAATAGGTCAAAAGGAAAAGGATCCCAGACTTCAAAACAGTGTGGTCACAAACTGACAGAAAAGGTTTTTTCTAGGCCTGCAAATGAAATACGACAATCTACAACAAAGAAATCAATTGTTAGTCTCAGCCCTGTTATTCCTTGGTCTGTTTTAGAGGATCTGGGTATTACACTCAGCAGTAAAGATTCAATTCTAGCTGGGTGAGGTGGAGCATGCCTGTAATCCCAGTGGCTGGGTGGGGGGGTGGCTGAGGCAGGAGGATTGTGAGTTCAAAGCCAGTTTCAGCAACAGCGATGTGCTAAGCACCTCAGTGAGACCCTGTCTCTAAATAAAATACAAAATAGGTCTGGGGATGTGACTCAGTGGCTGAATGCCCCTGAGTTCAATCCCCAGTACACCCCCCAAAAAAGATTCAATTTTATCCCTCTAAAGATACAAGAATTACACAGAAGAAAAGTCAGAACTCAAACCAGAAATAGCCTTAAGTAGTTCCTTCACCATGGTGAGCAGAAACTAACCACCCAACGTTCTAAAGTACAAAATAAGCTTAATGCAGACCACTGGGCATACCTGTGCCTTAGGTGGAGATTTCATAACCTCTTTGAATCAGAAGATGTCCTCAAAATAGTTTTCCCCTCAAAACTGTTTCAGGCTTATTTTAAAAAGGAACACTCAACTGCCACTTTGCCCTGATTATCCATCCCATCCTTGGAAAAAGTAGGGACTGAATCAGGTTCCTAAACTCTCAAACTTGAGAAGAAAACTTTAAAGCCGCTTTATCACTTTCTCAGGAAGTTAAAGAAAATCAGAGAAAAACTTTAGGGAAAACAGTCATATTAGGCTATCAAACATAAGTCATAAGCCCCCATACTTCTTCTCTAGAAACCCTGGCAGGGGAGAGTAAGCCAGAGGGCACCAAGCAAATCCAATCCGCCTGGCAAGGGGGTGTCCTACTGCAGTATTCAGAAAGAATGGATCCTGCTGGTTCGAAGTCCCTTCTATCTCCTCACTTCCTATTTACCCTTTGAAATGGGTACTGAATGGCCCATACCCAAGTAGAGATCCTTTGTACCAGGCGACTGGTGGAAACACCTTGACAAAGTTCAGTTTGGAGTCAGGACGGGCCACTGAAGTCATCTGCGGCTGCCAGAAACTACACACACACACACACACACACACACACACACACACACGAGGGAGAGGGGGAGATGGGGAGGGGGGGAGAGAGAGAGAGAGGGAGAGAGAGGGAGAGAGAGGGAGAGAGAGGGAGAGAGAGAAAGAAATACGAACAAGACAGCAGGTCAGGTCATTGCTCCTGTGACTTCCACCTGCCCCCTTCTTCCTGAGACCGGTGCCAGATCAGATGTCAAAAACTCCGCAAAAAAGTCCCGTGATGGGACGACTTCCACCTCTCCCCCAGCAGAGCCTCCCGGGACACCTACAGCCTTCTCCCGTCTAGCACTCCGTCTCCACTCCACCCCCGGCCCATTCTGCCCGCCGCCCCAACGAGGCCTGTCCCTCTCGGGACATCCTGGGGCTCAGAGGCGGGCGGGCTCAGGCCCCCAGGCCGGCAGGGTTGGAGCCAGCCCAGAGCCGGCGGCCCGTGCTCTGGGGATGCGGGAGCCGGTGCCCGCCTCGGCGCTCGCGGAGGGCTGGGGGCGGCGGCGACTCGTACCTGTCAGGTCTCTTCCTCGGACCAGCAGCGGCGCAACTTCAGGAGCCCATGTCCGTCCGGGGGGCCCGGCCCCTCTCCCGGGAGTGGGGGCGCAGATCCCGGGAAGGGGGCTGGGGGGCCCGGGCAGCTCTAGCCTCTTCCCATGCTCCCCGCCCGGCGCCTGGCCGGGGCCGGACAGCGCCTCCGCCCGCCCCTGCGCACCGCCTCACACCCGCGCTCACACACACTCACACTCCCTCGCGCGCTCTCACACACGCACTCCCCTCCCTCCTCCTGCTCTGTTTATCTCCTCCAGCTGTCTGGGGACCCAGGAGAAGCCCAGCACTGCGCCTGCGCCACGCAGTCTCCGCGCCCGCCCAGCGCCTCGCAGCCGGTAGCTACGCTACGGAAAGGGCGCCCGACAGTTTCCAGAATGGCCAGCTGGGGCCCCAGCTCCCCCCCGTGCCCGGTCAACGTCTGCTGCCGGCGGCGCCTACTAACCTGCTAGTGGGGGAGCCCCGCTCCGCCGCGGCCAATCCGCTTTGCTGCTCACGGGACCGGCAGCCAGTGGGCGGGCGGGAAAGCGGGTTAAGCCCTGAGGCATCCTGGGAGTCGTAGTTTTTTGCCGCCAAGGAGCCCAGGCTGAGCGGGCTCGCCCCGCCCGGTTGCCATTAGTTACCTGGACGCACCTCCCTTCCCACCACAATGAAAAATGCTTCTTCACGCTGCTTTCGGGACCCTCCCACACACACTCGCCCATTACCCCCAAGGAACAACACAACCGTTAAGAGCTCTTCAAGACTTCTGAGCTCCTGAATTGCTGGACCCCTCCTGCTAGGGCCCAGCCCCCCCCCCAAGCAAGCCTCAGGCTACTACTTACCTCTGAGGGGAGAAAGGTGGGCTGCCGAAATAACACATTCTTCACTCATGTTTCCCTAGCCTGAAGGAAGAGGATAAAAGGGAATTGCTCTTGCACTCAGTAGCCTTAAGGGGAGTCAGCCACACAAACTCTGGGAACCCTAAGACTGATGGGAGAGACAAGATGCAGCTGATACTACTGGAGTCACTGCTGTTCCCATCTGGGAAGAGGCAGTTCCAGTCTTATGCAGACCCACTCTCTAAGGAAGTTACCAAGGTGACTTGGGAAGCACTAAGCCTAACTTTTTTAGTGGTACTGGGGATTGGATACAGAAGCACTTGACCACTAAGCTACATTTCCAACCATTTTCATTTTTTAGAGACAAGGTCTCACTAAGTCACTGAGAATCTCACTAAATTGCAGAGGCTAGTCTTAAACTTGTCATCCTCTTGTCTCAGCTTCCCCAGTAGCTGAGATTATAAGCATGTGCCATGAGGCTGGCTACACCTAACTTCTTAAGGCAGAGACCACAGAGCTTCAAGTCAGAAAAGGAAGACACTGTCAACTTCTGAGAAGGATAACTTGTCACTTACCCATAGGATAGTACTTTTCAGATAAAAAAAAAATTGCTTGTATTTTCACTGTATTGTGTGTGTAAAGTCCCTCAGATGTTATTGCTAATTGTGTTTTGCAGAGAGGAAGCTTGAAGCATAAAGAGGTTAAAGGCAATTTGCCTAAGGTCACCTAACCTGTAAGGAAGCAAACTGAGATTCCAATCCATATCGACTTAACTCCTGTGCTCAGGATAGAACCCAGGGCCACACATGCTAGGAAAGCACTCTACCACTGAACTATGCCCACTAGCCTCTAAGAATCTGAATATTTAAACATTTCCTGTCCCTGCTGTGAAGACTAGGCAGCACTTACCCTCAGGATGGACTGGATATACATATCAGCACTCACAGTGTTTGTCCTTTGTTTATCACTCTGTGAATTGCTTTTTTCCCAATTCTGCTTTCATAATAGTCTGTGAACTCCCAAAGGGTGATTCCTCCCCATATGGAAGAATAAAAACCTACCCTCACAAATTCAGCTTATAAAGCTTTTCATGCCTTTCTCCTAAAAATGTTTTGGTCATTCCTCCTGACCTTTCCCTGACAGCTGTTCCACTGACTATGAAAGAATCATAGACTTTGGAACTAGAAGAAAACTTTATCATCTATCAGCTGCAGTTACAATTGATTATTTTCTATGAGAGGTACTCACTTGTGCACTCATCCCCCAGTCATGTCCTCTATGAATGTCTACACATATGTGTACACATATACATTCACACATACTAACTCATTTGACTCTCACAACCACTTTATGAGTTAAGTATTATTCTTATTCCCATTTTACAAGAGACTCAAAAGGTGGTTAGGGGCTGGGGATATATCTCAGTAGTTAGGGTACTTGCCTAGCATGTGCTGGGACCTGAGTTTGATCCCCAGCACTACAAAGAAAATAAAGAAAGTTAAGTTCAAAATCAGACATGGCTCCAAGCCATTAGTATATTCAGATTAACTGAAGAGAAGAGAGAACTTTCTAACAAATAGAGCTGGACTACTTTGAGAGGGTATGAGTTTTCTCTTTCTGCTAGTAGAGGCTATATAATCACATGTCCATGGGATGCAAGGATGGTTCAATATATGGAAATCAATAAATGTTATTCACCACATCAATAGACTTAAAGATAAGAACCATATGATCATCTCGATAGATGCAGAGAAAGCATTCGACAAAGTACAGCATCCCTTTATTTTCAAAACATTAGAAAAACTAGGGATAACAGGAACTTACCTTGACATTGTAAAAGCTATCTATGCTAAGCCTCAGGCTAGCATCATTCTGAATGGANTCAGTGGTAAAGTACACCTGGGTTTAATCCTCAGTACCAAACAAATCAATAAAAAAAAACATGTTGCTACAAAACCTAGTGAACCATAACAACTATGGACTTTAGTTAATCATAATGTGCTAGTATTGGTTTGATTGTAACAAATACACCACACTAATGCAAGATATTAGTAATAGGGAAACAAGGTGAAGAGTAACTCAGTGGTAAAATGCTTGTCTAGCATGTATGAGACCATAGTTTTGATCCCCAGTGTGGGTGCACAGAGGATCTCCCCCAGCCCCCACGGAAAACTATGAGGGAAGTGGAAATTGGGAATACGGGAATTTTGTATTCCCAGCTCAGCTTTTTTTTTTTTTTTTTTTTTACTTTTGAGACAGGATCTCACTAAATTACTTAAGGCCTTGCTAAAGTTGCTGAGGCTGGCTTTGAACTTGTGATTCTCCTGCCTCAGCCTCCTGGGCCACTGGGATTATAGGTATATGCCACCATGCCCAGCTTCAGTTTTTTGTTTTTGTTTTTCTTTTTTCTTTATGACATTACCACTGAGCTACATCCCCAGCCAATATTATTATTATCATTATTATTATTATTATTATTATTATTATTATTATTTTAAAAATTTGAGACAGGTTCTTGCTAAATTGCCCAGACTGGCCTACAATTTATGATCCTCCTGCCTCAGTCTACAGAGTTACTGAGATTATAGGTGTGCATCACTACACTCAGCAGTCTTTTGCTATTTTAATAAACAATGCTGCACTGGGATTGATTTCATGCAACTTTCCAAACAAGGCAACTTCTCATAAAAAAAACAACACATTAATTATTTACATAATGCATAGATAAATACCTTGCCCTTTGAAAATTGCATGTGATATCAYGGTAATAGTTGGTTTCAGAAGTTCAGCTGATGGTCAGCAGCAAAAAGAAAGGCCTGGCAGAAGGGCAGCCTCTTGCTGACAGGCACTAATGAGGAGACAGACTATCTTGGTTAAAAAATTTCCAAAGGATCAGTTTGGGTAGGAGAGGTGAGGCCTAATCGAAAGAATTGGAAAGCCCAGATGAGAAGTTGAGACTACATCCCCATAGGCACTAGAGAGTCTGTGAAAATGCCTGGTTAGGGAAATGCATTCAATCCTCGGAGATTCACTGAATACTCACTCTGCATTGTGCACCAAACTTGGTAGATATCAGGCACTGTGCTAGGCAATCATAATATAGTGAGAAACGTATATACATCCATGGTCAAAGCAATAAATTTGTTGTGTTTCATAGAGATTTATGTAGTTTACCCACAAAAAGAGCAATATACTCTGTTTKGGGGGAAGGGAGCCAGAGAGGGGTTCAAAGTGGGCCTAGAGTTCAACAGAAGTTTAGGCATGGCATGAAATCACAGACTTAAAACTTATATTCAAAAAAGTAGCTACCAACAGGCATGGTAGTGCACACCTGTAATCCCAGAGACTTGGAAGGCTTAGGCAGGAGGATCATAAGTAAGAGGTCAGTCTCAGCAATTTAGTGAGGCCCTAAGCAACTTAGTGATACCCTATCTCAGTGGTTAAATGCCCCTGGGTTCAATCCCTAGTGCCAAAAAAAAAAAAAAAAAAAAATAGAAACTACCTTTAGGTGAAGAACAGTGGCTGTAGGAGAGGGGAAGGAAGGAGGTTTATCTGTTTTTTGTTTTGTACCTTTGGTACTTTGGAATTTAGCACATGCATCAGGATCTTTCCTAAAGTTTTGTTGTAAGATCTGTGTAACTACTCCATACTCTCAATCATCGCACTAGGCCACCTTCCAAATAATTCCAGGCCTCGTCCATTTGAAAGAGAGAAGAGAGGTGATAAGATTTGGGGGCACTGACTCTGATGGGTGAAGGAGACAAAGCTCAAACAGAWTCCCGAGTTTTGAACTTGGGCCTCTGGAGAAGGGTAATGCCAATGACCAATGGGTAATCCTGCGAAGGTCCATAGTTTGGGTAGGAAGATAAAGAGTTTGTTTCTGGGACAGTAAAATAGAAATTTGGTAGAAACATTTAAACAAAGATACCTTGTAGACCAGACCCCAAGACCCTTTCAGGGAATCTGAAAATTCAAAACAATGTCCACCAAAGAAAAAAATTAAAATAGCTGGGCAYAGTGGTCAATGCCTATAATCCCAGCAATTTGAGAGGCTGAGGCAGGAGGACCACAAATTTCAGGCAAGCCTGGGCAATTTAGCAAGACCCTGCCTCAAAATAAAAAAATAAAAGGTCTGGGGATATAGCTTAGTTGTAGAGTGCCCCTGGGTTCAATCCCCAGTACCACAAAAGAAAAACAAACAAAAAACCAAAAGCATCCAATATTCTTAATTAGTACTAAGTACATAAAGTAAAAAGTTACCTTTTGAGGGGCTGAGGTTGTGGYTCAGTATAGAGCACTTGRCTAACATATGTGAGGCACTGGGTTCAATCCTCAGCACCACATGAAAATATATAAATAAAGGTGTTGTGTCCATCTACAACTAAAAAATAAAAAATTCTTTAAAAAGTTATCTTTTTTGCTGTTATTCTTTCACAAGGGTACAGTGTTTTCCAGAGGCTTCAAGACA